GTTAGCCCAGTCCCCACACTTCCATGGGGCTCCCACTGACAGCCCCCCTAGCCTGCCTCCCTGCTCCTCTCCACCCACTGAGAAGCCACATTCACAGTGAGCCTCATCACATGCTGAACCATATGGTTTCCTGTGCTCAGTGAAGGCCCTCTGTAGACAGCAAGCTTTCTGAGGGTCAAGAACAGAGCTTGACTGGATGTCTCACAGGACCCAGCACCAGGCTGGGCACATGACTGCTCTCCTGAGTGCCTGCTCAATTATTTAGATGTGAAAACTGGTGCAATAAAATATGTGGTTCTGGAAACAATCCATCACATCCTGGGAAAACAGCCCCCAGCCCCTCTCTCAGCCCACCCTGCCCCATCCACAGTTTGAGATCTGCTGGGAACTGGGCTCCCATTCAGCCCATCTGCTCAGTATCATTTTGGTTGCTTTTTCTCAGCTTCTTATTAGGGAAAAAAAATCTCCTTGAAAACCACAAACAGCAAATAGGTGGGGGAGGGTATGCAAAGGTGGATTGCACTAGGCATGTTGGCAGGAGCAAGGGATGAGGAGATTCTCAGGTGCAGGCAGCACTGCTCCTGTGGACAGAAGCAACTGGAAGGGCTGTCCCTGAATGGAAGGAGTGGGATGAGATCTTAGCCTTTCACTTACTCTACTGATTACAGAAGAGTGCAACTAACTTCCCTGGGTCATTGAGTGAGCCATTTTCTACTTGTGGGACTCTGGTTTATCCGTAAGGGAAGTACCTTACCCATCTCCGACATTCTGACTCCCAAACTAACTAACAAAAGGTGTATCTACCACCCCACCCTGAGTCTGCATTGCCAAGGAAACCAATTCCCTCACTGCCCAGATGCTCAGGGGACAGAGAAGCAATTCATGAACAAGAGCTGGAGGAGAGAGGAAAAAAATAAGAGAGTGTATGTGTGGCTGACCTCCATCCCAGCGTGTCTCAGGCCTCAATGTACAAAAATAACCTGGACATTCTAGAGGGATCAACAAAACATAGGCCTGACCCCATTCTCGCAGACTGGGGAGACTGTGTCTGCTGGAATATAAGGGTCAGGCAAAACTAACCGTTTGGAGGATGAGCACCAGAACAAGCTCGCCCAGCCTGGATATCCTGTGCAGTACACAAACATCTCCCAGGCCCCCACCCCACACCAAGACCTGGTGCCTCAAAGACTGGGACCTGAGTTCTACGCAGGGAAAGAATCAGACAACCAGCAGAGAGGAGCTGCAATATTATTTGGCAAGTGTGGTCACAAAGTGCCACTCCTCTGTGGTGGGCAGGTGGATGCGAGGTGAGGAATGTGGTTTTAAATCCCTGATGAGCCGTTATTTTTTGCACAAAGGGAAAAAAATGCCCCAGCCACAGACAGACTCCTAACCACAGCTACAGGCTGTGGGGCCACAGAATAAACCCAAATGACAGCAACAGAGAGGCTCTTAATTCAGAAACAACTGACAGACTCACCCCAACACCAACCATGAAAGGGTTCAGACCCAGACAGAATCCTTAGGGACATTTGTCCTGTTCCCAGGTCCAACCTTGCCCTTGGGGCCTGGACAGAAATCTCACTGGCAAGGAAATTCCTGAGCTACATTCAGAGAATAAAAGGACAGCATATGTGGGGCAAAGGATGCCTTTTGAAACTTGTGCCTGCTGATCTACTCCAGGCTTGTCTAAGGCCGGCCAGCCCCAGATATGACTAGAGCAGACCACAGCAGACTACTTACTGGTCATCCCTACCCTGCGTCCTCTTGGACTCTCTGCTTCCTCCTTTCAATATGTCTGCACACTTAGGTCTCCCTGCCTCCCAAGGTCTGTCCACCCCACTCACTCCCACGCATGTGGCAGCCGCTGTCATCCTGTCCTTTCCGAGACTGGTCTCAATTACATCCCAGCAACTTCCAGCCCACTCTGCCAGCAGCTCCTGTGCCATCTATAACCTGCTTGGTCTCTCTGCAGCCACTCCTCCCGCTGCCCTTCCCTCTCTGTGAAATGCTAGATCCAGCTTCTTACGAAGAGGCCCCAGCACTGGCCTTTCCCCGAGAGAGCACCTCACAGGGCCAGCCCAGGAACCTCTGGGTTTTTCCTTCACCCTCTCCCTGGAGAACTTCAGTTCCCTTCTCCAGGAGAACCACTCCCAGAGCCCGACCCTCCCTCTGAGCTGCTCCCAAATACCCAGCTGCTCTCCACGTGCCTGCTCCTGTCTAGGGCATGTTCAACTTGGTGTTTACACTGAGACCCTCCTCCTCCCTCTGGAGCCACTCTTATCTCAGAAAATGGTTGTGCCGAGCCCTGTTGCTCCAAAACTGGGGCCACTCTTTCCTTTGTTCTCCTCAAATCCTCTTACATCACCAATCTACCACCCGTGAAATCTGGGATCAGACTACTGCCCAATAACCCTGTTGGCACACTGAGTAAGGCCCTATCCTCTCCCCCAAGTTCATGCAGTGGCCTCCGTGCATCTGCTAGGTTCTACTCTGTTCCTCCCATAGATTCTTCTCACAGCCTCTAGGGTGATTGTTCAAAAAGTCCCATCATCAGGCTAGGGATGTATTTCAGTGGTACGCGTGCTTGCTTTGCAAGTCAAGGTCATTAGTTCAATTCCCAATACCAAAGTCCCATCTCTTCATCTCTGGCAAAATCCTCAGTGATCTCAGTGCCCTTAATTAGGAAAAACTCCAGAATCTTTAGCAAAACTTCCAAGTGTCTGCTTGATCTGGTCCCTACCTACAGACCCAGCTTCTTGATCTCTAACTTAAGATGCTCTGGCTATTCTGATACCTTTTGCCCGCCACCTTTATACCACTGAGCTAAATCCCTGGCTCCTGTGCTTTTCTTTTCTGACTCCATCTTTGTCTAAGTCTTACGCAGCTCTCAGGACTCAGTTTAAATGCCACTCTCTCTCAAAGAAATCCCACCTGTCCTTCTCCAAGAGTAGGATAAAGCACCCTCAGGCCCCAGTGTTTTTTGTCACTGAGCTACACATGGCTTCTCCTTTGAACATGCACCAAACTAAACTGCATGCCTTGTTCTTGTTATATTTTCAACTTTTGGCTCCTAGGGAGACTATCAGCTCCAAGAGAGCAGGAAACCACAATATCTTGTTCTATCAGAGGCCACCAGCACCCAGCCCTGGGCCTATCACATCATTATCACCAGAAATAGAAAGTATTGCTCCTGCCTACCCTGTACTGCATCCTTTCTTCTCAAGAGTAGTAAGTGTTTCAACTTTCCCTAAAGTCTCCCCTACTCCCTTACTCTCATTTTTTATAATTTAGGTCATGAGACTCAGGCCTGGCCAATCACAACCTTTCATCTCTCTGGCCACAGTGATTAATTTAGAGATATACACACAACCAGTGATGCTCCTCCCAGGGACTTTCGTGAGAAGTACGGAGGAAAAGATTCTTTTCTATCTGTGGAGTTAACCAGTAGGAACAGCTGTCACCATCCTGCTACCACAGGGACAAAGAATAAAAGCCGCATAAAATATACAGGGGAAGAAGCAGATTTCCTGGATGCAACTCTGCCTGTCACCTAGACTTGCTGTTGGGAAGGCAAAGATTCTCGTAATGAAGGGCAAGCAGATCATTGAAGATTTTGTCAGATGGGACCCAGTAAGTTATGTTTCTGTCATGTGCAACTAAAAGTTCTGACTCATACAACATTCAAATAAATATTGGGTGCTGAATGAATTAAACCAGTGAGTAAAGCCTGCAAAGAGGACTGAGACTCCTCCGAGGTTTTCAAGCTCTCCCTTCAAATTCCCACCATCTATCAGCATCAACAAGCTTCTCGCACCCCGGTGGAGACCACAGGCCACAACTCAGCATGAAAACCTGCTCACAGCTTCACCCTGCACACATGAACAACCAACTGGGTCAGAGGTCAGCACTGGAGCCAGACTAGGGAAGGTGGCCTGGCTTTCAGGGCCTTCAGGTGCCCCACCAAGAGGACAGTAGAGCTGTCCTCCGTCAGCACTGCACCTTGTCCTGCCCTCTGGTCACTGCTGAACACCAAACCCAACCAGGGCAGGCTCTGCTGTCTTTGCAAATAATCCCTCTTGGCAAATGTCACATGGCTCTGAAAGGCGAGCATCCAACGTGGGGTGATTTCAACTTGACATAGATTCATCCACGGAAGAGAAAGAATAATATGCAGGATCAGGAAAAAGATGCCTAATTATTTCCCTCTGAGTCACCTCAAAGCAGAGCCCTGGGACAGAGATGAGGCTGGCCTACATGTCCCTTTAGATGACTCAGGAAGCAGGTGACTTCTTCAGGGCCAGTCCTCACCCAGCAAGGTATAAACAGGAGAAAGGATACATGGAAGCTCAGGCAGGAAAAATGGCTGACTGAAAGTCCCCTCTGAGAGCCAGAACAGGGCTATGTGGTCATCCTGCCCAGGGGACGGACAGGTGAAAGAGGACAGGTATGGTGGGGGAAATGACTGTCTCCTTTTGAGGAAGAGGAGCGTCCTATGCCCCCTGGGATAGGATCCCTAGGAAACAGGCTGAATAAAGCACTGATAGGAAAAGAACCACTGGTCCCCCCAGAGCCTCCAGGGTAACGCTCTCACAGGGATTGGGGTAGCAGGGCTGTCCCAGCCAGTCAGAGGCAGGCAGACCACCTTGAAAGTGATCATCAAGTTCCAGGAAGGCCCACCCCCAGCCCCAGGCAATCGTGGGCAGCAGCCCCTTGTCCTTTTCTGGTCTGGTCCTTTGCTCCCAAACCTCATTGCTCCTACCACTCCACTCAGCCACAGTCTGTCCCCAGTGCCACTCGACACAGACACTCCTGAGTCTCAATCACACTTTCCTCCTGCACTGGCAAACTTAATTAGCCCCTGCCTCTGGAGTGTCAGGCCTTTACATCCCCCACTGGGACAGAGGCAGCTGGGCCTGGAGCCAAAATGACAGCAAGGCCTCGAGACTTTCCCTCACATGCCCTCCCTCTCTCCCACAAATTGACCGTTGGCCTCTTACCTTCATGGTGGGGGGCGCAGTGAGAGGAGGGGACAGCGGCTGGTCTGGGAGGGTTACATCTGAGCTGTTGGCCAGCTCCTGCTTCCTGTGAAGAGACCAAAGAACAGAGAAACAGTGAGCAAGAGGCTGCCTGTGCCTTTCCTGTCTGCTCTAAGGGTAGATGGGCTTGGGAAAACAGCTTAATACACCATGCAAAAAGCTAGAGCAGACTACAATTCTTTACTGACATATACCAGCATCTACAACACTGCTATTCTAAGGGTAGTCCCTGGGCCACCAGCATCCTTTGGGAACTTTTCAGAAATGCAACTTCTTAGGTGCATGCCAGAATCTCTATAGAGGTGAAGCCCAAAAATCTGTTAGAAAGCACTACAGGAAACTCTAGTGCACCTGAAATCTCAGAACCGTGAGTCTAAAGAGACACAAGACTGGGTTAAGAAGGGAAGAGAAGGCGTTAGAGGTCAACATGTGGAATGTGTTTTCTCTTGGGCCTCTCTGACCACACACACACAGAGAGAGACAGACACACAGACACAGAGACACAGAGAGACTGATACTGAGATGCCAGAGGTACCTGCTATGTGAGCTGCAGGTAAAACTTATTTTAGTCCACATGGGCTAGGACCTGGGAGAGGGATCTAAACCAGAGTTGTGTCACCATGGCAACATGATTGTGACAAGTTTGTCACACTCACACTCCCCACTTCCCATCTGGTCCTTTCACTGGAGACCAGGGAGAGCTTGTTTGCTGTCCCATCATCAGGCAGACTGTTCCAAGTGGGAAAAGGCTCCAGAGTGAGTTATGCAGGAGGGCCAGCTGGCCAGAACCTGGGGAATCCCCAACACAGGGACACTGGGATGTGCCTGGATAAAGTCCAAGAGGGAACAGGAGGGCAGGGATAACGGTACTGAGAACCCACAAAGACCAGACTAAGCTGTTGAAGCTCCCTGGCTGTATAAGAGCCCCACCTGAAAGCAGCCAGGAGCGTCAGCCTGACACCTGTGTCCCACTTAACCGATCAAAGAACACCACCCCCCACTGCCACCTGGAGGGAATGCTTTTGTACCTATTTCCAGCTCACCTCCTGCAAGTGGGGGTGCCAATTCCAACCCAAGCCTTCTTTGTAAGAGAAGCCCACATTCCCTACAGAGCTCAGCCCCCCAGCTTCTCAAAGGCCTAGGCTTGGCCCCAAGGCCCAGACACCATCCTGTCCTGCTCCGCTCAGCCGTGGGGCAGGCCTTGTCTAACATCTCTTGAGGAACCAGGCTGTGCTACCCTGGTCCAGTAACCCTGCTGCCCTGACAGCCAGCTACTCTCTCTGCCCTCTAAGCAGCCAAACAAGGAGCTGGGGGCACATCTGGCTTAGCACAGAACCCAAACATCTCTGTAATCGCTACTCCGGACACCACCAGCTCCCGTCCTGCAACCCTCTCTGTCTTTATGCCCAATTCTTCCTGGACCTTGGTGACACAATGTGTGACAGCTGCAAGGAGGGGCTCCCTTAGGTGCTGATCCAGACTGTTAATGAGCACAGGAAGCAACAGGGCCAAGACTCAGTATGTGCACACATGCACACTCGCGTGCACACAAACAGGGATGGGCCTCCTTCCCCAACCTCTCAGCTAGGACCAGAGCAGATGTGATTACTGCCCACAGTCTGTGAGTTCTGGAAAAAGTGTTTCCTGGGCTAAGCCCCTCTCCCATGACAGCTTGTTTCCAGCATCCAGGTCTCATCCCTAGGGAGCAGAGAGAACCACTAAGTGGGCACACAAGGAAGTTTCCAGTCAGAACAATTTCCCAAATGATACCTAGGAGCAGAAACAAACCCCCCTAGCTAATAGACTCCTATTAGCCCCAGAACTGTGTTCAGGACTCGGGAGATGAAGTCCAGGTAGGCAGAAGGCACAGCTACTACCCTTAAAAAGATCAGAAATCAGTACACACACATTAGCCTCGGCTGCAAATCAGAAGTCACCTTGCCTTGGTATATACACAGCTTTGGGTAACAGCTAATATAGGGGCCCACGTTGCACCACCTACTGCCCCTCCCCCATTTAAGAACTGAGCACCTTATAAGAATAAAAGATGACCACGTAAAGACACAGATAAATGGGGAGCTCCATGTGGCCATGGAGGTAGAAGTTAGAGTGATGTCGCTGAAATCAGGACAGGACAGGAATGCCAAGGATTGCTAGAAGAGACAAGGAAGGATGTTTCCCAGAAGCTTCATTGAGCACACAGCCCCTCTTGATCTTGAACTTCTGGCCTCCAGGTCTGTGGCTTTAACCTCCGTCGTTTTAGCACTTGGTAATGGCAGCCCCAGGAAAGCCATACACAGCCCAGGCCTTGGCCTTGTGACTGGAGAATCAAAAACAAGATGAAATCCCTGATTCTGCATCCCCACTCTGATCCGCTGTTCTTGACCTTGTCCTGCCCCAGCCCTCACCAGAATGACATGTACATGTGAACCACCCTGTCCCCAGGACAACCAGATCTGGCCCAGCTACCACCTGGTACACAGATAAGAAAAAGAAAAAAAAAAAAAAAAGATAAAGATAGAATAAGCTGGAATGCTCTATGTAATTCCAGTCCTTTCTTTCCCACCCAGGCAAAATATCACATATGAGTAGGTCAAAGTAATGTGGTTACACCAAGGGATAACCTCCAGTCTGCTTTCATTTATCATAAGCAAAGTGACAACTTTCTTGTGAGTCACAGTAATCTTGCCATGTTCCATGGCCCAAAGTCAACAAAGCCATAAAGTGCTGTAAGACACAAGGCCCCAGACCCACCTAGAGGCCACAGGGACCCATAAGAAGAGGAGGTGTTGGTGTTGAAGACAACCTGGAAGGAAGGGAAAAGGAAGGAGAAGGCAGAGGAGAAAGAAAGACCACACACTCGGCAGGAAAAGGGAGGGCAGCTGAACGGGAAAGTCCAAAGAGCCTCGTCCACCTCGGTCTCAGACACGCTACCCACTCAGTATTTCTGCTGCCCAGAGCTGCAAATCACTGAGGTCTCCTAACTCTGAGAATCTGTCCCTTAAAGCATGAGGGATGCCAGGACAGAAGGGAGAGCCCCCAGGGAGTCCAGGTGTGCCCCAGCCAGCTTCGGCCAAATGCAGCCCTAGCAGGGAAAGGATCGAAGGACCTTGGAGTGGAAGACAGCTCACCTAGACAGGACTGGTTGACCAGACGGGGCTGGGCAGATCACGGGAGTGGTCCTGTGATAGCACCAGACCTCCAGGGTCACTGCCTCCACCTTCAGATGGCTCTACCCCAGGCTCTCCACTGTCTACCACCATTTGCAAATTCCTCTGCAGTACTGACACTAGGAACCACAAGATTCCTGGGTTTGGGGTCTGCTCCACCTGCCACTCTGCTGTGAGACCTTGGTTAAGTTACCTCATGTCTCTTTGTCTCAGTTCCTTCACCTGAAAAGAGGTGGACAACAATATTCTGAGGAATTAAAAGTAATGGCTGTGAAAAAAAACAAAGTCCTATGACACTGCAGACTGTGATAATCCTATGACATAAAATAGTGATGTGGTCTCCACGTGGAGACAGAAAAGTCAAGGCGCAGAGCTGTTTAAGGATCTTAGAAAACATTTCTGGCATCTCAAATAAGCACCGTTTCTAGCCCTGGGGATTTACTCTTAGGACCATAAAACCTCTAGTTAATCATCAACAGCAGAAAAAATACCCACCTAGCAGCAGATGGCTTTGGGGCAGATGGTGTAAAGCCTCTCTCTCAAAGAATTCTGGGAAACCTGCAAATTCCACTTTTCTGCATCTCTCACCACCCCACTGCCCCAACCACGCACAGCTCTCGCCACCCAAGCAGCCAAACTAGAAGCATAAAGACAGCTGAATGCTGTAAAGAGCTTCTCAGGGAAAAAGTGAGAAATGTGAGTCATAATAGCTGAAAGGTGGAAACAACACAAACACCCATCCACCTACAAAGGCAGTCATTCCTACAATGGAATATTACTCAGTCATAAAAAGAGATGAAGTCATCATACATGCTACAACACAGATGAACCTTGAAAACACACAAGTGAAAAACAATGGGCACAAAGGGCCACATATTATAGGATTTCATGTCTATGAAAAGTTCAAAATGAAAAGTCCAGAAATAAAATGTAACTTACTGGTTGCTAAGAGCCTGAGGGGGAAAGAGGGACTACCTGCTATTAGAGACAAGAGTTTCTTTTTGAGGTGATAAAAATATTCTGGAACTGGACTGTGCTGATGGTTGCACAACTCTGCAAGAATATTAAAACCTACTCAATTATATAAATATTCACTTTATATTTCATTATATTATAGAAGGATGGATTTTATGAGATACAAATTATATCTCAATTTTTGAAAAAGGAACAACAACACGTGGTCAAATGGACTCCACCTGTCATTCTTGCCCCAAGGGCCTGAGTGATGGACATTCTTGCTTGTGACCATGACAGTGAAGGCTCACAATGCTGAGCAGGGCTTCCTGTCCACCCCACCCAGAGGAAAGCCACACTTCTCTGCCCCACACCCAGCAGTGGAGGAGTGGTGGGGGCTGAGGGTTAGCGCCTAAGGAAGTCCTCCTGGCCATCTATGGAGTCCTAAGACCCAACAGTAGGATCATGTGGCCCACACACCAGCAGTTCCGGGGGCATCCTGATGGCTGAGAAACGACACTCAAGATCATCCGTCCACACTGGCAAGACAGTCAGGAGCAAGGGGCCAGCTCTGGCCCGGGGAGGCAGGCAATGCCTATAGTAGTTCAGAAGCATGGTTTTAGTGTCTAAGGACCAGACTTGAATTCCAGCATCACTCCAATCAGCTATGTGCTCAAGTTATCTCACCTCTCTGTTCTTCATCTGCAAAATGGAATAATACCACCCTCCTCGTCATTTTGAAAAAAGTGTTTTGAATAAGACTGCAAAACACCAAGCACAGTGCCTGGGTGTTACAGCAGAAATGCAATACATGGCTGCCGCTACTGTGGTGGTGGCCGTTGTTGCCAGGGCTTCAGTTAAACCAACTGGACAACACAGGTATGTTGAGGAAAAGCTGAAGCAGAAAGCCAACCAGAAGGCA